TCCACCCACAGCATCCGTAGGACAAATCAGTGATTTCCTCATGGAACGGTTTACGCAAGGCCTCTCCGTTTCCACAGTTCGAGGCTACCGTTCCACAATAGTGGCAGTTCATACAGGTTTTTCTGACGGATCGACAGTTTCAAACAGCATCCTCTTAAAACACCTGCATCGGGGCATGTTTGTAAGTCGCCCACCTCGGCAATGATTAGTCCCTTCTTGGGATTCGGGGTCAGTTCTGTCGGCATTGACAAAGCAACCATATGAGCCCCTTGCTAGTGCCTCTCTGCTAAACTTGACATTAAAAACAGTTTTCCTGATAGCAGTGGCTACAGCCAGGAGACGCAGTGAGTTGCATGCCCTTACCATAGAACAGGGTAATGTACGATGGGAACCAATGGAGTACGACTGATTCCTCATAAAATGTTCCGGCAAAAAATCAGTCATCAACTTTCCAACCATCTGATATTTTTATTCTGAAGATAAAAACTATCCCTTCAGTCTGAGATGACAAACTCTGGTGTCCGGTTCGGGCCCTCAAGTGGTATTGCTCCCGAACCAAGCCCCTCAGGGGTGAGACCACCCAGTTGTTCATTACGACAACTCAGCCTTATTCAGGGGCATCACGGGACACGATCTCCCGATGGATAGTGAGGACAATCGACTCTTCTGTACCAGATTGGCCTACACGTTCAGAGAACACTGCCCATGCTCATGAAACCAGCGCATTAACGACATCATCGGCATTTTTGAAAGGCGTTCCTCTGCCAACAGGCAGCTGCTTGAAAAACGCCATCAACCTTCGTCTCGTGCTACCTGAAGGACGTCCAATGTTCAGAATCTCAGACTGGACGAGTAGCCCTCTCGGCTGCCATGGCATCTCATCCCAACCGTCAGGACAGGTTGACTGCCTCCAACACCTAGTAGACTAGAACTCCATATACCTGTACTAGGTGAGTCCCTTTCCACATACTTTGGTAATGTCTACCTATCAATTATGGTGAGGACACGAGGGGACATACCAATCTAATGCTTAAACAGTAGTACCTATGGCAGCCTCTCCCAAGCCCTCCTCCTATAGACGGTGCTAATCTATGCAAATGTAAGGTTTAACAGGTAAGAGAGTCCAAGAAGTGGATTCCCCCAAATCAAAGGTGATTTGTGAGTCCACGAGGGGACATCACAATCTTATGTTCCAGCGTTAAAATGATATTATATAAGGAAATTTTAATCATTTTGATTGTTCATTTTTATTGTTCGTGCAATTATATATGTAACTTTGTTTTATAATGGGTCGATGTTGTTATTGTATGTGAGCATTTGAAATTATCCCAGTGGGATACAATAAAGATTAAATAAAAAAGGATTAAAAAAAATATACAGTAAACCCCGCCTAAACCGACATCGCACAACTCATCAAATCACTCAAGTCGGCCATCGGACTAAAGTCCCGATTGTCCGTAATGCATTTCCATTGAATTTTTGATTTTTAAGTCGGCTTTTATAAGTCGCCATGTTGTGTTACTGTCAGTCCCCATTACAAAATCCTTTGGGTATTAAGTCGGCATTCAACAAAATCCCGCATTGGCATCGACTTCCTGTACTGCGGTTTCCAAGCAGTGTCGAGTGAAAAGTGGTTTGGCACGGCCCTTGATCGCTGCACGTATCGGTGTCGAAAAGGGTGCCCTACTGCATACATCGCATTTGCATCGTGAGCATATCAATACCAGTACCCCATGCGCTCTGTCCATTTTGGGGGTCGTCTTATTGAATGACTAGTGCTGCAGTCAGTGCGTGCGTGGTATATATACCAGACCACGCACGCATTTAATTTGTTACTGTGCGTGCACATACATATGTATCGTGGTCTCCAGTATCAATACCCCAAACGTGATGATACAATTCAAGGATTAATTTGCTGGATTCTACTCAAGCATTAAGGACATGAACCAGATAAAATCGAAGCCAATTAGTGCAATAAATCATGTGTGCAAAAGGCCATTCATGTAAGTCGGCAAAATGACGACTTACAGCAGATGCCAGCATTCGCGTAAGCTGTCACATTTTCTGGGGTCCTGAGAGTGCCAACTTAGCCAGAGTTTGCTGTATGGCCAACCGGGTCCAGACAGCAGGGCTGAGAGGGTGCTCCCCACCAGAGGAGATGCGGTGGAAACAGCAGAGGTAGCGGCCAGACCGAGACCGTCCTGATGAGGGAAGAATTTTCTTCTTTCACCCCGGAGACCAGGGAGGACCCCTCCAGCATGCAAATCTACCTGGAGACCGAGACCATCGGACTCGAGGAGCCAGGGGACATCTTGTGGCAAACCTGGCACCGAAGCGGCCTGGGGAGGGCCCGGAGTAGGACGGCCTAGAGTCTTCACCATAGGCCTGTGGGTTGTCCCCGGGTTGATTGTTGTTTTTTGCTTGAATTAGGACCTAAATCAACATTAACCAACATTCTCGAGGACACCCCAGGTAAATAAATGGACAATAATTGGTATATATGCATTTTGTTCTGATCATGCACGGTGAATTCTTTTCAATAACTGTTTAAATTATATAAACATCACTTGACAAATAGTTTTGTTAGGTAAAAAAAAAAATGTAAGGTAGGCATCGTGGTTAGTTGTATCATTGTTTGATTCTATGTAACCAGTCTTGGGACTAGAATCAATGCTGATCGACTATCACTTATGACACCCTTAATTTCAAATATCAGTTCATGTAAAATTTGTTGTAATTGTGCCCGTATTCAGGAGAAAAGGCAAATTCTTGGGAGGGGGCAGTTAATGGACAGTCTATGCAGCACTTTTGTTGTCATTGCTTTCTAGCACTAGTGCTCCAGCGGAGGGGCTCCGGCGACACTCACCTGACCTGGTTTGGGGTCTGGTTTAGCACATGCTCTGGAAATAGGCTCTATAAATAGGTTGGCTAATTGGGGTTCTTTTGTTCAATTACATGAGTTGGGCTTGGCCAGATTCCAGGGTTGGGTAAAGTTGCTACATTTGTATACATTTGTTCAGACTGTGTGTTTTTGTATGCTGGGAATCAGTTGTTGGTTTTGGATAGAGTGTGGCAAGTTGGCGGTTATTTTGTGAAATAAAAGTTGAGTTTTTGGAGTTGAAATCAGATGTGTGTCATGTCCCCTTCCTCAGTTATTTTGTTGGATTGGAGGACAAGGACCCAAAAATAAGTCGCGCTACAATAGCAGCAACATGGATTTGGGGCCGGTGCCTAGGGTGGAGGACCTACAAAACGCTGGTGCCTAGGGCCAACTAAACCCTAAGTCTGGGCTTGTACATCCCTACTTTAATAACATTTTCTAAAGCAAGTGACCGAATAATTATGAGGACATAGTAACGATCCCAAATTTCTACTATTATAGTCGTGTTCCCTAACGTGGCGCACTTCAAAGCCTACCCGACTTTCCTCGTGTAGTGTTGCCAAACCTCTTTGTTGACAAACCTCAAATTCATGCAATAAAATACTAGTACTTTTACCTTATTAATTCTTGCTATTTAACCTCTGTGAACAATTATGGTTTCATAAAATTTAATCCGAAATTCAAAAATGGTGGCGTCCGGAAATTGGGCACAAATTGGCGGAGTGTTCCCTAACGTGGCGCACTTGAATAAATCTCGGAAAATTCCAAATTAACATTTACAAATTTCTGTAAACTTGATAAATTCTGATAAATAATTATTATCTCTACTTACATACCCAGCCAGATGTTTGTCAGAAAATTATTTTCTTATTTTTCGGGGCATTTTCAAAGGGTTCACTTTGCACTTGAAAATAAAATCGGAAAATCACGCCAAAATAAACTTTTCTTCTAACTTTGTAAATAAACTCGCGATTTATGAACAGGAGTGTTTAGAACTTGATGAAATGTCACTTTCTGTGAAATTTCAGTTAAAACTTTTGCTCTAGCTAGGCGCTACAGGCGAAAAATCAAAGTGCGCCACGTTGGGGGCTGCGCCACGTTAGGGTACATCAACAATATACCCAAAAGTTGTGCGCATTTACCTTGTCTTCATATATCAAGTGGTCTTGCAAAAACCTCAGGACACGTCCGTCGCCAGCCCCGAGCGTCAGGGGGGCCATAGTACCAACTAGAGGGGCCCACTATCATAAAAATACAAAATACACATGTATGGCTTTTGCCGTTGGGCGACTAATTGGTCGCTTTTACTGCTTTTAAGCAGTAAAGCCAAAACAAAAACAAAAAAATTGGATACAAGGGGTGGGGGATCAGATGTACTTTCATCCAAAGTTTTGTGTCTTAAATTTTCCCCTTGCTTTATTCAAGTAGCCACTCTCATCACTTTTTAAGTTCCAACTCCCTACAGAGTTGTAATGACTCGAGTCGACTCAATTTTTGGCGACTCAACTCGACTCAAGTCCAAACAGGTTAAACTGACTCAACTCGGCTCAAGTTAATACTGCATGCATATTACTCGACTCAACTTGAGTCCCTCATCAGAAGACTCAACTGGACTTGAGTGGAAGGCTAATAGCACTCGAGTCCCAAAACTGTGCGAAAATATATTTTTGTTGACTTGCAGTACAAAGTTAGTTATGTTCGTGTACCTTGATTTACCGTCAAGTAAACCGCTTATCGTGTACAAATATGTGCCCTATCATGGACTCCCACATCATGGTTTTAAATGAATGCACAAAATACTATCCTGAACCAGAATTAAACACATTTTGCAATTCTTGGTTTCATCATCGGCTTTGTTATGTTGTTTATTAGATGGTGTTCATGTGTTATCAGTGACTCAAATTGACATGAGCATAAATTTGACTCAACTCAACTCGACACAACAACACACTGTGTCTCGACTTGACTCAACCTTCTTGCCCTAATGACTTGACTCGACTCAATCATTTCCTTAAAATTACTTGACTCGATCACAAACTTCAGTGACCTGTTAGTCTAGTTTTTCTACACTTCTGTGGTCCTGATAATTTAAAAGCTGTTCCAAATCTTTTGCTTCCAGGCTCAGGTTCAACTGTTAAAAAATTGTCTGTCATCACTGCAAGACAACTAGTTCAAGGTAGGCTCTAAAGAAGATCCGCTGACAAGTTCAAGGAGAGGAACTCACAGGAATGTTAGTATTTTGGGGTGTTTCAAAGAAAAAACTCTAGATGTGAATCAAACCATTTGAAATTTATATAACATACTGTCTTTGGTCATTAAGAAGAAATCTGGGATACATGTGTGTATATATAGGGTGAGTAAAAAGGACGTAACCAAATAAGAAAACATATGTAACAAAACAATATATGGCTCGCTCTATTTCATAAAAATAACAAAAGGCCAAAAAAAAGGTCTCCGGTTTCTGGTTCCGGACCATGTGCTTTGGCAAAATTAAGTTTTTGGGTTTTTTTTCAATGGAAGATGATGTCTCAAAACCGCCAAACTTACTAGGTGAGGTCGAGTATAAGCTTTATGTGTCCCACATATTTTGCACTAACTTTAGTTGGGCACCATATGCAGACGATGGTGTAATTTTGTAATTGTGTGTCTGGAAACCAGACTGAACGAGCGATGGCCGTGTATCTGGAACCTGTAAACGCTTTTGTGGCAGCACATGCATGATGTCAATGTCACTGTATGATCTGACATTTTTTTCTCTGATTTTTCTCTTGACTATTTAAATTTCCAGAAGAATATGGGTCTAGATCGTGGGTGCAGAATTCTCAAGCGTTATGGCCATACTAAGGTTACCTCAAGCTCCACCCTGAAGGATATTTTGAGAGCTTTAAGGGGATCAAAGTGTCATCTGCAATATCAGCCGACATTTGAAGGAAAAAAATAGGGGGGGGGAACCCCTGTATCACTGCACCACTTTTGGGGCAAGCTCCATTTCAGAAACCTGAGGCAATTTTTGTTGTTGGCCTAAGGATAAAGTACATGTTATTGACTGTGAAAATGTCACCTAGTTTGCATACTCTATTCCCACGTTATGACTATTTTAATAAACAGACCACAAAATTCAGCTGTCCACCACTGATCATTAGTGGACAGCTGAATCTTATGGTCTGTTTACTAAAATATCATAGGTTTTCATTGGTTCGTAGAATAGTAATTCTACGAACCAATGAATAACTTTTAAATAAAATTTCCCACCTCCATGAAACAACGAAAACTTGCAGAGGAAAACAGACAAAAATCACCATCAATATGGCATTCCATAGACAGCTATAAAAATAGCTTCTTTTTAGTAAAACATGCATAACTTCTGATAGCATGATCAATTTCAGTAATGCTTTTTTTTTTCAGATGAGTGGAAGAACATGCTCTTTTACGATATACTTCATTTGTGTATTACATTTGATTGATATTTAAGAAAGAAAAAAATTGATATTTAAAAAAGAAAAAAAAAAAATATTCCAGGTCACTTTCTTTTTGACTCACCCTGTATATTTACTGATTTGTAGAGAAGGGAAATACGTGTAAAAAAAAATGACTATTACTATTTTCTGTTACTATTTGCTTGTACTTGAGTGAAGGAAAGAATGGTATCAGCCATAAACTCAATTTTCTTGAGAAACATTAAATAGTATACACATATGGACTGGCAATGAGGTCACTAGAGCACTGTGCCCAGAGGGACTGTGAGTGACCATAGGACCCTGTTCTGGTCACTCACAGGGCAGAGGGGGCATAGACATGCACTTAGTGACCAAATTATGCCAGTCCATATGTGTTTTTGCACCTCTGTCCTACATTTAAACTAAAAAAAAACCTTTCAGGGTTTTATTATTGAACTGTTTAAATTCAACAGTTAACTCATAAGCAATTCAACTGTAAGCAATTCAACAATTAAAGGAACGCTTTTAGTTTCCCTAGATTAAATTTTTGAGTTTGAGTTTTGTCGGAGGGCGCTTTTACCAGTCAAAAATGTTTGAGTATAGTGCCCGATCAGGCACTATACTCTGGAAATTACGTGCGCGAGATGTCTTGACGCATTTGTAGTTCACACTGATGGAAGTTTCAAACACTAGCCTATATTAGCGAGTCACACGTAACCGCGTTTAAGCCAACCAGGACAAAGAACAAGCAAGCAGTGTGTTACAATTTTGTCTTACCACATCTCCCTGTTGATTATTCAATTAAATAGTATAGTTAGCAGTTAAAATATTTGTTTTGTTTTGATTTATTATTTTTTTTCATGTGAAACAATCGCAAAGTTGTATCTTTATCGAAAGCTTCAAGATCAGACTTTATAGAGTAGAAGGTTATTGATTGTAAAATAGTAAAATGTGGAGTTCCCCCATCATTCCAATTTTATTTTTAATCACAACACAATAGGGAGCCCAATACTTTTTCGAAAATACTTGGTGAACCAATTTCCATTGCGTTTGAGTAGTAAAGGCGTGTTCATCGGTCCTGAGAAAATCATGGATGTTTGTTAACCAAATATTTAAATATAAAAACATGATTATGAAAATCAATTCTGTTTATCATGTTACTAATGTCATAGGAGTCAATACCTCACAGATTTTATTAGAAGACAAATCTAAAGTGTTACATGTTTTTGTTAATGATTTGTGCTGATATATGTAACATTTGTATTGAATATCTTGCTTTCACAGTAGATAGTCAGTAGTCTAAGCCTTTCAAGTTACTCTGTTTACAAAGAAGTGTATATCTTTTTGTTCATTATTTACAATAAATTTGCATTTGCATTTAAAATATTCTATATTGTGAACCCATTTATATCATTTGATAAAATAGTTAACAATTTTAATAATTGTAAAACTGTATTGCAACATTAGAATATCCTTTTGTTGCTCCACATCAGTGGACCATGAAAAGATGACCATAGAAAACAGGCAGACAACTTGTGACTCACTAGTGAACCTGAAAAGGTTTCACAGACGGCGTTATTTTTTTTATTCAGTACTCTTAGTACTCTTACCTATTCAAGCTACACAAAACAATTGCCCTAAGTCTGCCTGAATATAAATGACCGGAGCTTGAAAATTATAAAAAGACAAATTTGCTTTCTCAATTCAACCCCAATCTGCGCATGGGACAAGTTTCCCAAAATTTGGACGAATCTGAATGCTATATTCATGAATTGCAGTGGACCAAATATGAATTCACGCCTAGCACCCAAACAGCTCGATTTGTGAGTCAAAATTTTGATGCCTGAAATTCCTTCTTGCATGAATAGCACAAACGGCAATTTTTAAAGGATGGTTGTGTGGACAAATACAGGGCGTCACAAAAAAAAAGGTAATCCTACTTTAAAGGGTTATTATGGCCCGACTATATGTTTACCAGCAAAAAGCTTTATGCTTTTCAATGATACCTTGGGTAACATTCCAGGGTCACGCATCATGGAGCACCATTGTCTTGAAGTTGTGGTGCAAAAATGCAGTTGGTTCACTTATCATACCTTATTTTGAAATAAGCTGTCATTGAAAAGCACAACGCTTCGGCTTTAAGATTATATCATGCTTTTTGCTGGAAAATATATAGTCTGGCCATTATAACCCTTTAAAGTAGGATTAGCTTCTTCTTTTTTTAGACACCCTGTACATGTATATTCTACTTCTAAATCCTCTTTCCATGACAATATCATTTCAGTTTCCCCAAACATGCCACTTATCGCAGCATATGAATGAGATATTAAAAACTATTATTACAGGATTTACAAGTTTAATATTGCGAATATGTTTGTGTTCCTTGGGTGGATTATATTTTTGTACATGGTGAGTAAAAAAAAAGCCAAAACCCAAATGTCAGGACCATTGTTTTAGTGAAGTTCTGCATGTAGCACTTTCAAAATCTAGAATATTCATAAGGCCCAATTCATAAGCTTTCTTTTAGTACAAGAATCATTCAAATCACTCATGTACTTTTCAAGTTGCGGAGTTTTGAACACAACCGCCGTCTTTAAGGTTCTGTCCACGGATAACAAAAAAGATGTGTGTTCCTTCAGCAAAACGAAAACAATTCACACACATCTTTTTATGATTTGTTTTCGTTTTGCTGAATGAACACTGAACAGCTTATGAATTGGGCTTTCATATCCTAGATTTTTAAAGTGCTACATGCAGAACTTCACTAAAACAATGGTCCTGACATGTTTTTTATTTTTTATTTTTTTACTCACCCTGTACTTTCTGACAGTACGTTTACATGTACAAACCCCGCGCTGTCAAAAACGATGTCACTGTACACGGGCGGCCAATGTTGGGCCGTCCACTAGTCTAGAGCACTGGCCCAGCTTGCGCCATGCGGAAATCACGCTGCGCGACATGGGTCAGCGGAAAAATCTGTATAAACTTCTGCAGAAATGTCCTTCTTTCTTGAAATGTCCTATTTACAATAACTCGGAAATGGTATCATTATTTTCATCTATTCTTCATCTACATGGAAATGTTTTTAATTTGTCCAGGAAAACTGGATAAACATTTTTTAAATGGATTGATTTAATGATAATAATAACTAGAGCTATGTCTGTTCGATGAACAGAGCATAGGGGCTTTTCCGTATTTCTTTTTTTTTTTTGGGGGGGGGGGTTGTTTTGTCCATATGCAAAAAGATACCGTAGTTACAGGACTAAATTCTTCACATATAGGACTTTAAAATATACACCATTTAACATGCTGTTACATGTCCCGCGACGACGTCATCGTAACACCACTTGTCAATGCACATGTTTTCATTGTGGTCTTGATGTGCACCAAGTTTTACGTCAATCCCATGAAAGAAAGTGTACAATTTTGTAAGCGGAATAAAATCTTAAGTATTAAAAAAATAATAGCGTTGCTGTTGAAACCCCTCAGCCAAAGTTTGTTGAAAAGGGCAAACTGACATTCCATGCAGACATTAACTCACCACAGTGACCTTGACCTTTGACCTTCTGACCCAAAACCAACTTGCCTGTACCCAAGGGCAACCCTACCTAAGTTAGACACCAAAATCTCATTTCCACTCGAATTAACATCCGAAAACCATTTACCTTAAGCTTACCACAGTGACCTTGACCTTTTGACCCCCAAACCAATCCCAACTTGCCTACTCCCAAGGGCAACCCCCTACCAAGTTAGACACCAAAATCTCATTTCTAACTGAAGTTATCATCCGGAAACCATTTACCTTTAACTCACCACGGTGACCTTGACCGTTGACCTTTTGACCCCAAACCCATCCCAACTTGCCCAACCTCGTCTCAAGAGCAGTACGCGCCCATCACTACCTGCTCTCTCACCCTGGTATTGGATCATTTGCATGTGCAAGATTTTTGCACACGTATGCAAATGAGGAACAGTCTGGTGCCTGGATATGCGTTACACACTAGCGTTTGTTTTTAAGGGGTGTCTGGGGTAAAACAGAGTCAATTCGTAGCAGCGCGAGCACGGCGTGAGTTACGAAAACACGATTTTGAAATCAAACTGTTACGATCTTATCGAGACAACATGCAGTATCATATTTCATATTAATATGAGCAAAGGAAAGGAAATTAGTATTTTCGAGAAGGCGTGGACGAATGATCGCAAAAACACGTACTGCACGTTGTGAATATATAGCACCAAGTACACGATAAAAATCCATTACAAGCCAATTGCGGTATCCAATCAGGATACAGAAGAAAGTTTCCTATCCAGTTTACTATTGGAAACGCGGTTGGAAATAAAGTAAGCACTGGGGACGAGGTTGCAACTTGCCTACTACCAAAGTTACAATCCTAAACATCTTTTCTAAGGCCAACCAAAAAAGTCTCCGGTTTCTGGTATGCGCGCGCGTCGCCGTAGCCATGTGCGTCGGCAAAATGACAAAGTTTTTTTTTAATGAAAGATGATGTCCCCAAACCGCCAAACTCACTGGTTTGACTGGAATACTGCTGCTGCACAATTTTAACGTGTTTTTAGATTGGGTTATGGTCGAGAATAAGCTTTATGTGGCCTCTCTGGACTCCCATATATTTGCACTAAGTTTAGTCGGGCACCATTTGCAGTCATCAGCACACATTTGAAGCAAAAAAATCAGGTAAAAAAAAAAAAAAAGCCGCGTCGCCGCATCACTTTTTGGGCAACCTCCATACCAGAAACCGGAGACTTTTTTTGTGTGGCCTAACTCGAGTTATCATCCGGAAACTAAGCTGCCCGGACGGACGGACGGACGTCCGGTCTAGCCAGACGGAATTGTGGGTGATAGCATTGTGTTCCCATTATCCCTTTTTCTAAAGATTCCCTTCTGGGGTGATGTTTTTCTATTGTGAAAAAAAATTGGGTGATGTGTCCTGAAAGGAACATCACCCCACAAGGGGGGTATGGTCAGAACGTCCTTACGGACGGATGGACGTTCTGACCGTACCACCCTTGTGGGGTGATGTTCCTTTCAGAACACATCACCCCACTTTTTTCACAATAGAAAAACATCACCCCAGAAGGGAATCTTTAGAAAAAGGGATAATGGGAACACAATGCTATCACCCCACAATTCCGTCTGGCTGGAACGGACGCCGTAGGCAATGAATACCCCTCGAGCCTCTCGGCTGAGAGGTAAAAATCATAAAAATAACCGATAACGTCATGGTGACATCATTTCAAATTTTGCATACTTTTTGTGACATTATCTACCTATATAGTCGTGTTCCCTAACGTGGCGCACTTCGAAGCTTACCCGACTTTCCTCGTGTAGTGTTGCCAAACCTCTTTGTTGATAAACCTCAAATTCATGCAATAAAATACTTGTACTTTTACCTTATCAGTGCTTGCTATTTAACCTCTGTGAACAATTTCAGTTTCATAAAATTTAATCCGAAATTCAAAAACGGTGGTGTCCGGAAATTGGGCACAAATTGGCGGAGTGTTCCCTAACGTGGCGCACTTGAATAAATCTTGGAAAATTCCAAATTAACACTTACGAATTCCTGTAAACTTGATAAATTCTGATAAATAATTAATATCTTTACTTACATACCCAGCCAAATGTTTGTCAGAAAATTATTTTCTTATTTTTCAGGGCATTTTCAAAGGGTTCACTTTGCACTTGAAAATAAAATCGGAAAATCACGCCAAAAATAGCTTTTCCTTCTAACTTTGTTACGGGTAAATAAACTCGCGATTTATGAACAGGACCGTTTAGAACTTAATGAAATTTCACTTTCTGTGAAATTTCAGTTTAAAATTTTGCTCTAGCTAGGCGCTACCGGCGAAAAATCCAAGTGCGCCACGTTAGGGGCCGCGCCACGTTAGGGTACATCAACAAATGTATGACGTCATTTCAAATTTTGCATACTTTTTGTAACATTATCTACCTATCCATAAAGTTCCATGACAATAGGAACTTTTGTTATATGTGTTTTGGAAATTCGCGTTTTTTTATGATGTAATCGTGACGTCACAAATTTTAAAAAGGTTATACAAAAAACAAATACAAAAGGAATTTAAAATTTTGCCCGTTGCGTTCATAAGATACTGCTTAAAGGTCCAAAAATTCCAAAATACATATTAAATCGCACGATTATGTCATCATGACGTCACCTCAATTTTACCTACAACACATTCCAGTCTCCCTACATACCAAGTTTCAACCCAATTGGACTTACTTTTCTTTAGAAATAGGACTTCAAAATATGCATGTTTGTGATGACGTCACGTGACCCATGATGACGTCATTGTTACAATACCCGTCAGTGCACATATTTTTTATTGTGGTCTTGATGTGCACCAAGTTTG